CCATTCCCCCCCCCCCCCCCCCCAAATCTGTGTGTAGGGTGGAGGTGGCTGCCGCTGCGCTTTGCTCCCTGCTTCAGCTGCCCCGAGAGCAGCACGGCTACATGCCTTCTGCTGCTGGGCAGCACCATACACCCTACCTGCCTGGAAGCAGGACGCATGTGGCGTTTCACAGCTCTCAGGGCAGGAGGGCTCAAAGCACAGCAGCACGTGTCCCACACACAGTTTGGGGGGGGGGAGGGGGGGCCTTGTTCCACCCCCCAGCCCAGCTGGGGTCCCACTCACTCCAGCCCCTGCCTCGATCTGCCTGCCCCACTCTGAATGGCATTTCTCCTCAACCCGCCCCTTCCCTCACAGACCTATCTACAGGGAGGGAAGCACATGCTAAGTCCCCCCAGATAATTTTTCTCCCTCTGCATATGCAGAACGGTATCTTATTTCAGTCCTTTGATGGAATTTTAAAGTCAATTATGACACTGGAAATCCTTTAAGTCTTACATTTATTATTGGTGAATATTTTGCTTACATCTATCAAAAAGCAGCACATGAGAAAGTGAACAGAACACTTATATTACCCTAGGCATGAAGTACTTGTAGATGCAGGCTCCACCAACCACAACTCCTGCCAAGATGAATGCAAGACCCAGAAGTGTCAACAGGCATCTTCCAGATGAGTTTTCACTTCCATGTGTGGCAATTTCTGGATCCTTTAAAAAAAGGGAAGGAGAATAAGAATCAACAAAATTTCATTGGCTTGAATTTAATAATATTTTTTCTTCTTCTAAGACTCAAGATGCTCAAGCTTGACTTGAAATCAACAAGGAGTATCCCTGCATAACTGATGGGAATAAAAATGTAGGTGTCAGGCATCTGAGAAAGACTCCATTGTTATGAGCGATTAGGATCAGTCAAATTAGTATAATGAAAACAACTTTATAAAAAAATATTATAGCTAACAGGAGCTAATCCAAAAATCTATTGGAATTCTGGTTCTCCTTACAGACTGGGGGGCAGGGGGGATTTAGGAAATGATATCCTTTGAAGTCCTAAACCAGGGTCTTCAAGATTTTAAAAGCTGCAGGCCAAAGTGATGCAACTCAATCTGAGGTGGGCCACTGCTGGATCCCTCTGCGACTGCTGTGCTTGTGACCCAGTTGCCACCACATCCCTACTACGGAAGCAAGATGAAATCACTTGGCAAGGCCAGATCCAGCCCCTGGGCTAGCTGTGTGTTGCTTACCCTGTCTTAAACTGTTCATTTTATGAATTAGTTATAGGCTTTGTCCATTATGGCAATATTTTATACCTACACTAATACCCAGACAGGAAGATGTCCAACAGCATTAAAGCTGGCCACTTCCAGCTCTTACAAAAATAGGTAAAACTCCCTCTTACTTTCAAGATATGTGACATACTTCTTAATTAACAGGACCAAAACGTTACAAGAATCTGTTTTTTTAAGCACCAGAAATAAGCTTTAATTCCATCTGTCTAGATTTTTAAGCTGATTTCAAAGGGTTTGTTTGGTTGGTTTTTTTGTTTACTATGGTGACCTGCTTTATCCCTAAAAAGAAATGAGCTTGAATAGAAGTGAAGCCACCAAATGTCACATCAATCACCAATTCCCTGTTTCTTACCACCAGTTTTCAAGGTTTACAGTCAAATCATGTTTTCCAATTCTTTCTATACTTCTTTCTAACACATTGCACAAGAACCCCACAAACATGGGAAGTGAAACAAGTATATGCCATGTACTTCTGCACCCTTTCCCCTACCCAACCAAGTGAAACCCAATACTTCAGTTAAAAGGTGACCTAAAGCTGACAGCATCCCTTGGACTAGGCATGTCAAATATACAGCCTGTTGACCAGATCTGGCCCATGGAGCGTTTACAGGAGCCAGGTATTCAGAGGCACAACCCACCACTGAAAATCCAGGGTCCAGAGCTTTGTTGGGCATACATCAGTGAACCAGGGCTGCATTAACCCCCACAGGTCCCTAATGCTTCTTGCCACACAGTCTGGATCCAACCCAGGGATGCCAGGCCAGTGACACCTGTGCCCTACACACAAGACACCTTACACTAAATGAGAGTACACACACACACACACACACACACAGCTGGAATTCTATAGCAAGTCAGAGTAAGAAAGATAAATATTTTTCTTACAGATTGCAAGTTATTTTAGGACCTCTGTTATGCAAAGTGTGTATGAATGTGTGTGTGTATGTTTTGCTGAGTACAGCAACGTGAAGGAATATATACAGGAAAACCCCACATAATTCCCAATAAACTGGTTTAATACACAACCCCCCATAGTAATGTCTGATACTGGCTAGTTGTTACACTAGTATTCAGCAAGATAGAATTCCAGGAATGCCAATTTCAAATCCACATCCAGCTTATGCAAAATTTTCATCTGACTAACATTTGGACTAAGGTATAAAAGTCATGGCGGCAGAAGTAAGGAGTCATATTACTCCTCTGCAGAAGTATGAGCCCTTTTCCACCCCTGCTGAGGGTGACCTCCAGGTAACCTAGCTATGAATGGGTTCTCCTAATTCAGGCTGGGGAATACAAGGCAGCCAGTCCTGGTGCTGGCAGCACCACTCCTTTCTGTGCTCCTAGTTACAGAACCTTAAACACATTTGTGTACAGGGCCATTCAGTCCATGTGGACTTGGGCCTTTTGATAAGATAGCACCTCTTAAAATTAAGATTCTTTAAGGCCATTTTGCTTTCTCATAGACTTTTTCTGCAGTTTTTCCACACAGAGTCCACTAAACTTGTGCAACAGCTTTTCACAATTGTTTTAACAAGGATTGCTTTCCAAGTCTGTAAGTATTTATGGTAGACTACAGCTACACTATAGCCTTGTTTTAAATTAATTAGGGTAGGGTCTAAAACCCTAATGAAATTGCCGCCGTGTTGCACTATATTTACACTAATGACAATTTCTGTCCCAAACAGCTAATTGTTTAAGTAGGCCAGGAAAAAAGAGGTTGAGAGGCACCCTTTCTCCCACCCCACACACAGTCTGTGCAATGTCACTAGACTAGAAGTCATACCTGGAGCTCCATCCTGCCTCAGGTTACAACAGAATCAAACACTGGTGTGCCAGGGGATACTTATTGTTAAATTCTCTTAAGTAGTCAGGGTGCCATTTCAATTTGTAAGGGGGGGGGGGAAGGAACCCACACACCAGACCACAGCTGCATTGATTTGCGCAGACAGGTCGAGAGACACCATTTGCCTCTTCTTATGAGGACACCCTGTGTATTTCACAAGCACTAGTGTCCCATATAAAATTCTTGTTCGTGTTTGTTTTAAAACATGCCATTTCAGCAAATCTTCCTGCCAGCAGAGTCCTTTGCATTCTGCAAGCCGGATAGTAAACACAAAAGCAAAAGGGAAAACTGGATGTTAGCAGTACTAGATGAACTGTAGTTGAGGGGGTGGGGGATGAATGTGTTTAAGAGTAAAACACGAAACTACCTTTAAATAAAGCACTTGTTGTGGGGGGGAGGGTTATTCCAATGCAATGCTGAGGAAAGAGTTTCGTTGACAGAGGGGCATCTATACCCTATAGATGCTTAATGTTCAGTAGACTAGTTCTACTGCACATTCAGGCATCATGGCAAAAACTGTGCTAATGCGCAGCAGAATTAAGTCTACTGCACAAAACGACAGTGCACCCTTGCTACTGCATATTAGCAATGGCTACTTACGTTTAGATAGTACCTCATATTAGAAGTACTAAACTTAATGCACAGTTGCAAGGGCACATCAGTGTACACACAGATGCATGCAGACAGCTGCAGCTCATTTCGACAAGGCATTCTGCAACCCTCAAAAGCAGCAGTCGTGATCGCAAGCACTGATTTCATTTAAAGCAAAATGAAACAAGGCAGGGGCAAGGCACCAAGGTTTACTTTACCAAGTGCAAGCCAAGCTGGAAAGCCTGCAGCCCTGCGAATCATTGTTAAAGATGCACGTTACTTCTGAAAAATAGAAGAGCGGGGCCAGCAGCCTCGGCCAGAACCAGCCGAGTGCACTCGGCCGGCCACTAATGGCCTCACAAATGGAGCCCGCTCCTCGCCGGGCCCGGCTCGGCCAGACTCCGCCGCTAGGACCCAGGAGGCCCGGGGCCGAGCTGCTCCTCCCCCGGCGGCAGCCCCGGGACGGGAAGGAGGCGGCGGCAGTCCGTACCCGGCAGGACCCACCGCCATTTTAGCCCGTGCGGGAGGAAGGAGAGAGGGAGGGAGGGATGGCGGCGCCGGGCTCGGCCCCCCCCCGCCCCAGCCACCGGGAGAAGATGGCGGCGGCCCAGACCCGCGTCACTGCGCAGGGACCACAGCCCCGGCCCGGCGCGCACCTTATCGGCCACCAGCGCCTCGGCAGCCTCCTTCTTAGGCTCATCCTTGCGGGCGAAGGGCGAGTGGAACGCGATCTTCACCATGGCGCCGCGAGCTCTATCTGCACCAGCTGAGTCGCTGAGGAGGCTGCGGAAGAGGGCGGAGCTGGGGGAGGGGCCAGAGGGGCCCCGCCCCTCTCCTCTCTGCTCTGCTCCGCCCAGTCAGGGCCTGGCGCTGCGCCTGCGTGACGGTTGCGGGCGCTGGGGGGGTTGCAACTGCCTTCGCAGGCGGTTGGGGGGTGCGGACGGGTGCAGTGC